GCAGGACACTAGGCTCCACGTGCCAACCGACACTCACAGCCTGGACAGTCACAAGCAAAGGGAGACGGCTACAGTGCTCAGGTGACAGAATTATGGTCTTTTAATAAAAAGTTTCCCTTTATTGTAATATTTTATGGCAGGGAATAAAAAACCTAGGTCAGGACATCCACGCCCTAAACCCCCAGTTTGCTGGCACAGTTTCTGTGAAGCCCAAAGCTGCACACAGGCCTCTCTCCCACTGTGTCTCTGACCTGCTTCTCTGGGTCTGCAGGGTTGCATCTGTCCTCCAAACAGACCGAGACTCCTCCAGAACAGAATCTACTCATCCCCAGTCTCTCTGGATTACAAAGTACAGAAAGACTTTCTAGAACCACCTCAGGTTTGCAGAAAGCCATCTTTGTTGCCTTGAAATGCTTCTGAGAAGATTCTAGGTTTCTTCTTCATTCTCAAACTTTAGAAAACCTGGTTCCCCTCTCCCAGGCCAGCTGCCCCAGGAACATGTCAACTTCCAACGGGTCCAGGCAGAAGGAGAGAGAAGCAACCACCAGCACCCGGTGGTGCCAACCAGTTAATTAACGGGAAGCACATGGGGCGTCTTTAGGCAGCCCACAAAGAGGCCAAGCTTGGGAACCACGTTTATTTTAAAAAGTGAACCCAATAGTCACATTCTCATGCAAAGTAAGACTCCTGGTCTATCCCTTTTGTGTCTCATCCATAAGAGTTTTCCTCCCTTTGACACATATCCCAGACAAGGCAGCTGGAGCCAAAGCAGAAAAATTCAGGCTGTGTAAAAAGTAAAAAAGTCCTTGCCCTTCTGTGTGTGGATGTCCCCAAGCCAGCCCACTCCTGCCTAAGCAGGGCCTCTGAAGGACACAAAATCATCTTTGTCCAGCATGCTGGCAATCTCAAGCTGACCTCTAACAGCTGAGGCAAAAATAGTCCCCACAAGACCAGAGAAAGGTGACCCATAAATGGTTAAGTCCCCAGGGAATGTGGCCACTGCCGACCTGCTGAAGGAAACTGAGATAGTGCACCGGACCCTCTGCCCTGGCAGCTCTGGACTGCAGGTGCTTCCAATAGCAAGGGCAGGACTGGCTGCTGATCCATTTGTTCAACCCCGCAGGTGTCTGTGGTGTCAGCTCCACACTGCACAGCCACCTGGGCTTAGGCCAACTCGCTGGTGTCACCTCCTCTGGGAAGCCCTGCTTGGCCCTGCGACCACAGGCAACCTCCTCTACTCTGCTCATCACAGGGGCTCACCCCCTGCCTGCCCCACCCTCCCAGTCACAGGACAGTGAGCTCTGAGGACTCCCCAGGGCTGCTCTGGGCCTAGAAATGCGGCCAAGTAGCAACCATTTACAAAAAGCGCGCCATGCCCTCAAAGGGCTCACCCAAGGGCAGCCAGGCCCCAGGGCTCAGCGATCAGATGCTGGGAACCAGAAATGAGTCAGGGGCTCCATCTGAGCCCCGGCCCCTGCCTCCAGCGGTTGGAAATGAAATTAGCATGCTCCACTGGCCACCCAGCAACAGTCCAACCTGGTGTAGGAGGACCCTAGAGACAGATCCACACCTCAGGTGAACCTTCCTGGCACCGGCCATAGAACCTGAGGTGCCAATCATGTGACATGACGGCAAGGAGGGTGTGGATGGCAGACATGACTGCTGTGGACGGTGCACCTACCATGTGCCAGGCACCCTGTGCAGCACCTTCCGTTCCTGTTAATACACGGGTGCCTCCTGGGCAGGGCCTATGGCCCCCATCACATAGATGAGAGCAGAAGACACCAGGTGGCAAGGCCATAGGCACCCCAGGATGATCAACGCCCCTTTGCAACCCAAAGTAGCCTAGGCTTGTCCTTGGGGAACTCCAGGGTTGGCCAGAAGAGCCACCTCACTGGACTGTGACTCTGGGATGCTGTTGGGGCCTGCAGCCTATTTTACCCACACCCATTCCTGGAATTCTGATGAGCTAGGGAGCCACAGGGGCCCCTTAACACAAGCTCCCTGCACAAGTTCCTCTGCCAGGCCCTGTCCATCTCCTACTGATTCCACCAGTATCCACACACAGCCCAGCTGGGACACCCCAGGTGCAGAGATGGTCACCACACCTGCTTCCATGTGTGGCCAAGCTCTCCCAGAGTGGACATCTCCAACCGATCCAGTCAGTGCTTGGGAAGCCGCCACCAGTCAGGGGTGGCAATGTACACCAGACCCACCTCCCTGACTCTAGGGCCCAGGCCCCACACCAGCTCTCACCCCCACAGTAGTGAGACTTAGAAATAGCAAATCCACAAAAAAAAAAATAAAGGGAAAAGATGGCTAAATGATGTCTGCATAAAAAGATGTCCTTCAGGGTCTAAAATTCCTGTTTTTGACACACATTTACCTCCTGAGATTGAAAATGCTCCCACAGTACATCAAGTGAAATAAATGGCTCAGGGTCCCCACACATGCTGTTCCTTGTGTCATTCCTCTTCCCTTCAGCCTTGAGGTCTCAGCTGGGATGATGCTCCCTGGAGAGACCCCAACCAGCAGCTCAGGCAGCCACGTGCCCCGCATACCAGTCTCCTTCCCTGTCCCTTTTGTATCCTCCATTCCTTGTCCCCAAGTCTGTCCTGACTTCACTGACCTGTGTGCCAACTTGCTTCCGGACAGCTGCTCCAGCCAGCACACCCACAGTGGGTGCAGGCGACAGGCTGGTTCATTACGGGCTTTATTCCATCTCCCAGCACACAGAGGTCCACAGCAATTATTCACCGATACTCAGAATCTGCAAGCTCCATAGTTTTCAAATTTGTCAGGATGGGACTACCTGTTTTTATCTCCTGGTGACACTTGCTCCCCACTATCTCTTGGGCCTAACTGTAGTGACTGCTCCCTGCCACCATAAGGGACTGTGGCAAACCAAACTCTAAGAAGGTTAACCCTACCGCTGCCTGAAGCTGAGGCACCTCCCCCACCAGGGAGTGGGCAGGGGCCCAGGACAGGCTGAGCGGGAGACCAGGACCCTGACCCCCGACCCAGGGCAGAGACAGCAATGAACTCATGCCTCTGAGGTCCAGGCAGGGGCCCCACCTGTGCCCCTGCTGTGGGTGACCCCAGGCCGTGACTTACCCTGTTTCCTCATCAGTAAAGTGGGAGGGCTGATGCAACATGGTCACACTGCTCCTCCCCCTCCAGAGTGGTCTATCACCCACCCTTAACTTGCTTCGTCCAATCCCCTGGTGTCCCTGAATCTTTCATGAGCAGCTTGCCTGGACTGAGTACCTATACTTGGATTCAGCTCCTCTCTCAACATCACCTCCAGGCCAAGGTGAACAGTAAGCAGCAAAGGGCCACCAGCGCCTAATACCCCCAGCGCTCACTGACTCACGTGTGCTGTCCATCTCCCCTGCCCAGCCCTGGAGAGTGAACAGCAGAGGCCCAGGCTCCCGGCAGTGCTCAGCAGCCCAGCACCATGAGGACTGCGCTGCCCACGTCCCCACTTCTCACCTGGTGGCATCCCCCCGTCTCCCTACTTGAGAAAATAAGACCCTTTGGGGGGAGACTCCCCAGGTGTCACTGTAGTAGCCATCACAGCAAAACAGCTTTGGCAAAACAGCCAAGTCTTCACGGAAGATGCTCTGCTCTTGTTAAGAGCAGGGCAGCGTGTCCTGGACAACCCAGTGCATCCTCACCTGAAGTGGAAGGCCGCTGGGGAGCAGACAGGAATCCTGCCCCACCACAAATGCCATGACCTCACACAGAGTCCCTGGCTGCTGTATGCAAGTACAGACCACAGCTCTCCCTGGGCACAGGGACCAGGACGGCTTCTGGAGATGGAACCTCCGTGTGCTTGGGCAGCAGCTGGGGCAAAGGGAGAAAATTTCTCCCCTCACCCAGACACTCAGAGAGGGCTTCCAGTGAGCTATTACCAGAGTCCCTACGATGTGGACAGTTCTCATGTTGGGAGCCAGCTCACCTAGGAAGCCCCTGCCTTCCCTTCCCCAAGTGGGACACTGGTACAGGAAGTTAGCACAGGCCCTGGTCTGCCTTCTGCAGCGAGGACTGGTCTCAGGAATGGCTGCTTTCCTAATGCCTCACATGCCAGGTCCCGGGGTCAGCTCCAGAAGCCCAGATAGCTGTGTAGATGGGTAGCTGTGCTGGGCTCCAGAGCACCCCAAAGACAGGCTATGTCCTGGTTGTGCATAATTTCCAGAAAAGCCCCCCACCCATGAGAACCCAGCACTTGGAGATGAAGAGCCCCCTGGCAGCAGCCAGTGCTAAAAAGTAAGGGGGGAGTGAAAAGGTGGGAAAATATCAAATCAAAGCAAACAATCTGTGTGTGGGGAGGAAATTCAACTTAACCCCTGTGCCCAGAAGGGTGTCCACTAAGGGCATGTCTGTAACCTACACACACCTCCATGGGGGAGATATCACAGCATGAAAACTCCACAGGAATGAGATGCAAGGATAAACGTGAATTACTCATTCCCACCTACATGGGAAAATGTGCCTGAAAAAGCAGAAGAGGACCCCACTGCCAGGCTGTGGGTGTCGCTGTGGCGCACTGGGTGTGCACAGACAGAGGGGAGGAAAGCAGCATGTCTGTCGGGCACAGGACTATGGCAGCTCCGGCTGCCCAGCGTCCTCTAGTACCGCTGTGCTCTCTCGCAATAGACAGCGTGGTTAACAGCTGACGACAGCGAGCCTGCAGGCTGCGGTCACCATGGGCAGCAGCCGTGCTCAGCTGCTACGGTGTCATTTTACAGGCAGGGGGACCCCAGGCCCGGGGATGGCTGGTAACAGGTCTAAGACCAGCCACCTGGCGGGTAGCAGAGCCCAGATCTGACCTCAAATTCCAGCCCAGTAAGCGCCAAAGTCTGCCCGGCACAGAGCCCATGTGCTTCACCGAGGCAAGCAGACCATTTTGAACAGGTTCAGCAGCGTTTCCCAAGCTGGCGGCAGCCGGGTCACACCTGGCCAGGCCCTGCCCCGTGGCGGCCAGTGCTCTGCCTCACCTGCCTTGCACGTCTTGCCATTGTCCTGGAGCTGCACGCCAGTGGGGCAGGCACACGTGTAGAAAGGCTCCCTCGGGGACAGCAGACACAGGTGGGAGCAGCCTCCATTGTCCTCCTCGCACTGAGTGTGGACTGGGAAAAAAGGAGAGGAAGAAAAATTTCCAGACGAGGCCTCAACGCACACCACCTCCTCCCGAGACTCACTTGAGTCAAACACCCACCTCCTTAGCCCCCATGACGTCCCCAGCACGGTCCTCTGCCCATACACCATCCCCATGTGGCACCAGGGCCCTTCCCCATGGCACACCTCTGTCCCGCCTTGGGGCTGCCCACCCTCCACCTTGGGCTTTCAGCCTTGCCAGGTGATCTGCAGTATTTTTAAACCAGCCATGACCTTCCTGGCCACCCTCACAGCCCAGAAGTGCCTGTCCCCAGAGCGGGCATCCTCTCTACCCGCCCCCTCACCCTATCTTCTGCTCAGGGTGCCCCAGGGGACACCCCCTCTGTGAAGGCTGCCCTCCATGCACCAACAGCAGGGTCTCAGGCCCAGCCGTTCAGCAGTGGCGATGACTGTAAAGTCAGGGGCTCCCAGGCACGAAGCCTGCCCTGTCTTGCTGATGTGCTTGGACCCCACAGGTCCACACAGAGGCTTGGTCACCTCACCCAGACTGGGGCTGCACCTCTTACAGGGACTTTTCCCAGAGCTCGTCCCTTTCCCAAGTCCAGGGACCAACAAGCAACTGAGCTAAAATCAATAAATACTTCCAGCCCCTCCGGTCGCCCAGGGAAAGCCAGGGTTGAGCACCCCTAAAAGATGGAGTCATTGGCACAACCACCTCACGGACAGGAAGTGCTGCTCTCCCTAACACCAGCTGAAGCACCAGGCTGCCCTGAACCAGAACATTCTTGCTGATTATCTCCAGAGAGCCAGCCCTGCTGGCCCTCTGTCCTACACTGAGAACCGTTGCCACCTCTGGACCCCCACCTGAGGGTCAAAATGCAACTCTTCTACAATGGCTTGACCCTAAATTCCCATCCCTGGTCCCACAGGGGGAGGTGATCACCCCACAGGACTGGGTAAGCCCAGGGCCCTCGCCCCACTGATCGCCTATCTCTGGAGCCTCACCACGAGGCGCCTCCACCACGACCCAGGGGAGCCTGCAGCTGACAGTCACTGACGGACAGCAGGTCTTTGAGTAATAAGCATGTACCTTCCCTCGGGCCTTCAAAACGGGGCAGCTGGAGGACTGTGATAGTGGATCCCCACTGCCACCTCTGAGCCCAGGAGCAGCCACCATGAACTCTGTGGAGGGGTGAGGCCTGTGTCCCACCCACCCTGGCCTGTCCAGCCCCTGCACACACCTCCCTCTGTCTCCACGGGAACCCCTTAGAGAGGCTGCCCCCCAGACCCTGGCTTCTGCAGGGGGCCCAGAAAGACGGCCCGAGGGAGGGAGGCACCGCCAGCCCCTGCCTGGCCTGGGCACTCACAGGAAGGCTGCCGCTCTGGGCTGAGCACCTGGATGTCCATGGGGGAGTAGAGGGCACCGAGGATCTCCTTCCTCTTCTCCCCGGTCCGCTTGTTACAGGCATGGATGGAACGGGTCTGCCAGTCCGTCCAATACAGCGTGTCCCCAGAGAGCGTCAGGGCAAAGGGGTGCGTGAGGCTGCCCTCCACCACCTTCTGCCTGCAGGTGGGAGGCAGGGAAGCCATCAGGAGAGCATCCTCACTGCATCAAACCCCGCAAAGCGAGACCCAAGAAAGGGACCAAGAGTCGCACCCTGCTTGCCTGTCTCCACAAAACCTCTGCTGGGTGCCCATGGCTCTTCCCAAACCCAGCCACCCACTGTTAGTGACAGTGACACATGGGTCCCACAGATCAACTGTCAAAGTCTCCCCCACACAAGAGTGGGGTGACACTCTTCTGAGTGAACTCTGGGTGACAAAGAGCTGCTGACAAGTGTCCCTCCCCTGCCCCAAGGCTTAACAATAACACCAACCTAGCTGAAGGCACTTACCCATTCTTATAATGCCCATAATTTAAGTTTTCAGAGTAAATTAAACAAGGAAAAGCTTTTCTTTTCTAGGTGCTTACAATGCCCCCCAAATGAGGACTTGAATTGGCTGAGATCATGAGCATTGGTAATGGGTAATCATTTGTTTCATGACCACTACCCCCACCCCACACTAGGCTCCCTGAGGAGGGGCCTGCCAGCGGGAGATGGCCACTGTGTCCCCAGAGAGGGTAACATGCAGTAAGTGGAACTGGAGGGGAAACCATCAGCCCATGTGCTTTCCTGACCCACTGTCTCTTGTTTTGTTGATGCTTTAAAAAACAAAAAGTACTATGTTGAAATCCACACAGTACTTCTCAGTTTAAAGCGAATAATTCGGTGCTCTGTGACCACTACTCCCACCCCTTTTCGTCAGCAGTCACTGCCTACTCCCTGAACCCCCAGCCCTGGGCAAGCACCCACCTACCTTCTGTCCCTGCAGATTTACCGATAAATATTCTGGATACTTCACATAGTACGTGGCCTTTTGTGTCTGGTTCCTTTCACTCAGTGCAATGTTTGCAAGGCTCCCCATGTCTGTGCTTGGCTGCAGCTTTCTGCATATGCACAGGCCACAATGTGTCCCTATACCTGTCTGCCGGTGGACATCAGGGCTGCCATTTCCACCTTTTGGCTACAGAGACTAAAGCTGCTAACAGACATTCCTGTATGATCATTTATTTGAATACCTGTTTTCCATTCTTTGGGGCCCATACCTAGAAGGGGAATTGCTGACCTCATGTAAATATTAAATCAACGTTTACAAACTAAGGAATCACCCAACGGTTTCCCACAACATTGCCAATGTTAGATCAGAGAAACCGGACACCCCTAATATCTCAGTCTGCCCCTCACCCTGCCTCAGCAAACCTCACCACCCTCGCCCCTCCTGCCAGGGTGCCACAGTGTGCAGGACGCCCCCTTCCTCCTCCCTTCCACTTCCCACCAGACCCAGGGGCATGCCAAGCACGCCGGCCCTCCCTGAGCGTGCACCGAGTCCAGGTGCCACTGCCACATCAGACTCGCAGAACACCCTTCCAAGACCTGCAATATCCTGCCTGAGGCTCTGCGCAGTGAAGCCCCCCAGACACAGTGACAGTTAAGAGAGGGCCATGCAGGTCTCTGTCCTCCAAGCTCTGCTTCCACTGAGCAGCCCGGGTGGGCCATCTATGAGGAGCGTCGGCCACCTGCAGAGCCAGAAGGTGGCAAGGCAGATAGGAGAGGGGCTGAGAGCTGACCCTGAGCCACAGCTCCTGGGTTCCCACCCTGGCTCTGACTGCCTGTGTGGCTTTGGACAGAGGTCATGTGCCTCTCTGTGCATCATTCGAACAGGCGTCACAGCAGTGACCCTCCATGGGGGTGGGGTAAGCATTAAATGACCTGATAAATGTCCCTGGAAACAGTAGTATGGAAAAGTCACCACCACCATTCCCATGTTTCAGCTGCTGTCATCACCCTCACTGTCTCCCATCACTGTCCCTTGACCAGGGCCCTTCCAGCCTCAAATCTATGTTCATAACTGCCAGGATCAATCAGCTCTTAAGAACTACAGTCCCAGGTGGCACCCATAGCTCAGTGGGTAGGGTGCTGGCCACATACACTGAAGCTGGCAGGTTTGAACCCAGCCTGGGCCAGCTAAACAATGACAACTGCAATAAAAAAAAGTAGCTGGGCATTGTGGTAGGCGCCTGTAGTCCCAGCTACTTGGGAGGCTGAGGCAAGAGAATTGCTTAAGCCCAAGAGTTTGAGGTTGCTATGACACCATGGCACTCTACCCAGGGCGACAGCTTGACACTGTCTCAAAAAAAAAAAAAAAAAAAAAGAACCAGGGTCCCCAGGGTAGCCCCGTTTCCAAATCTCAAATGAGACCCTGACCCAGGCAATCTGTGCTTCCAGGGACAATGGGACAGAATGTTTCTAAACCAGCCTCAGATGCACGGCTCTACCTAAGCAGCAGCCCAGGAGGAAGTGGGGCCTCTTGCCATGACCACGACCGTGAGCTTCCAGCCTCCATCAAACCTTCAGATGACTGAAGCCCTGGCCAGGAGCTTGACCTCAGGACACACCCTGAGCCAGAACTACCCAACCAAGCCACTCCGAGGTGCTAACACCTCTTCCCCCAAAAACCTCTTTGCCATTTCACGCTGCTAAGTTGTGGGGTATTTTGTTACAACAGATAACTAACTCCCAAGGCCTGGATGACGCGGAACAAATGTGCTGATATCTTCATGTCTGTTCGAGTAGGCATTGCCTGTGTGTGCAGGAATCCAGCCATCAAGTCCTCCCGTACAGTGTCACTCAGGTGCCTTGGCATTGACACCCCGCCCCCCACCTAAGCCAGGAGCATCACCAGCACAGGAATGGGGTCTGCCCTCCCTGGAGGAGCCCAAGCCCGGCTCAGAGACAGTAGGCAAGAGTTGGTCAGTGAATAAACAGCCTTTTTGTCACACATGGACAATGTTTCTCTAAGGCGTCGTGAGGTGGGGGCTGTGAAGCGAAGCTGACCCAAAAGCTTTGAAGGCAACCACCCAGCTAAGGAAAAACTCATGTTCCTTCATTCATTCAGCTTGTTTTGCTGAGCACTTACTATGCATAAGGCCATCGGCAAGGCTGGGGATGCAATGATGCCCAAGACAGCCCCTAATGACTGAGGCAGCCCCCGCCGCCGCCTTCATGATGATTATGAGCTGGGGTGGGACAGGGTGAGACAGCATTTACACAGAAGTAAAGTGTTCACAACCCAGTCTGGCCACAACCCCTGGCCCATGACTCCAAAATCCAAAACACTCTGAAAACTGTAAGAGTTTTCATTGTTCATTTGGTAGGAGACCCTGGGCGTGGATGCAGTGCTACAGTTCATCTCGTCTGCCCCTCTTAGAGTGAACATTCCACGTCGCGCTATAGAATATCCAGGTGCCGCGTGGCAGCTGCTGCCCAGGCTCACTCAGCATGTGTCAGATCTGCCCAGTCTCACTCAGCATGTGTCAGATGCAGCCTGGGTACTCTACCCTTCCAAGCTCTCAGAAGCCCTACATTCCTCAGGTCCCCAGGGTTTCAGGTAGGGGACCGTGGGCCAGAGTGAAGAAGGACTGTCTTCAAAAGCCGTAGGATCACTGGGGGCAACGGGAAGGGAGGGCCCAGGACCGGGTGGGCACCTACCGGAACGACCCGTCCAGGTTGGCTCGGTGGATGAAGCTGAGCTTGGCATCTGCCCAGTAGAGCTTCTGCTCATCCAAGTCAATGGTCAGCCCGTTGGGCCAGTAGATGTCTGAGTCCACGATGATTTTCCGGGTGCTGCCATCCATCCCAGCCCGCTCAATCCGGGGCGTCTCACCCCAGTCTGTCCAGTACATGTACCTAATGAGGATGGAAGAGGCAAAAGGAGAGAAAGCTAACACAGGTCCACTTCTGATTTCTGTTCTCTGCTTGCGCTAACACAGTCAAAGGAAACAGAGACATCTCACCCACCAGAAACAGCCAGCACTCAGGGTTCTAGGTATTACTGCCTTGGGTTGGGTAATCAAAATGGTCTGCTTCCAACTTTCTCTCACTTAACAATATAGCTGACCGCCTCCCCACCCTGGCCACCTCTTTAAATTGACCTAATTTTCACAAAGTGGGCAGGCACCACATGTACATATCAGCACAGCAGGCCTAGTTCCTCCTGGGGACCACCCCTGTGGGTTTGTTACGGTCCCCTGGGTGGTCGACCTATGAAGGTTCTGCTGGGTTCTGAGCACCCTCCCTTCTAACAGAAAGGCTCCTTGTCCTTCCAATGGGAGGACAGTTTCCTGTGCTCTAAGTTATTTAAATGGCCCACGTTAGATGTTTGGGTCATTTCTGATTTTTTGCTATTATGAAAATGCTGCAGGCTCGGTGCCTGCAGCTCAAATGGCTAAGGTGCCAACCACATACACCTAAGGTGGCAGGTTCGAATCCAGCCTGGGCCCACCAAACAATGACAGCTGCAACCAAAAAATAGCCGGGCATTGTGGCGGGCGCCTGTGGTTCCAGCTACTTGGGAGGCTGAGGCAGGAGACTCGCTTGAGCCCAGGAGTTGGAGGTTGCTGTGAGCTGTGATGCCACAGGCCTCTACCCAGGGGGACAGCTTGAGGCTCTGTCTCAAAAAAAAAGAAAAGAAAAAGAAAATGCTGCAAATGAATTTTTGAAGGGGTAGTTCAAAACATGCAGTGTTTAGTGCTAAAAAGAAATGAGTTCTCAGGCCAAGAAGAGACATGGAGAAAAAGTAAAAGCCCATTACTAAGAGATCCCAACTGTATGATGCTTTGGAAGAGACAAAACTGTGGTGACGGTAAGATCAGTGGTTGCCAAGGGTTGGGGGAGAGGGGACAGATGAACAGGTGGAGCGGAAAATGCTGAGAGCAATGAAACAATCCTTTATGACAATACAGTGGGATGTCATCACCCATCTATTAAAGCCCACAGAATGTCCAACACCAAGAGCCAGCCCCCTGATGAGAACCAGGGACTCAGGGTGACAATGCTGTGTCAGTGCTGGTTTGTCGGTTGTAGCTCCGTGTGGGGTGTGGAGCGAGGGAGCCTGTGTGGGCGTGGGGCAGGGAAGCTGTACTTTCTGCTCAATTTGGTTGTGAGCCTAAAACTACTCTAAAACATAAGGTCTGCTCTGAAAGAACAGGGCGCATGGGTAGGATCAATACTGATGTAATAGCAGCGGCTAGTCGGGGTGGGTTTGTGGCTAACTTGGCTTTGATCAGGTTCTCAGAATCCCAACAAGGGCAGGATCACAGATCTATGAGAAACAGCCACATCCTTAAAGGCCCCCTTGTCTGATCTCCAGCCAATGAGCCCAGACAAAGCAAGCAGAGCCGACATACTGTCCCAACCTCACCAGCACCCAGACGATGCGCCCGGTCCTGAGGTGACCACAGGGATGTGCCTGGTGGCTGGGCATGGCTTCTTAGGAGGAACCAGAGGGATCACACAAGCCCAGAGGATAGGAGGTTCCCAACGTAGTCGGCCGTGATGGGCCATGGGACACAGGGGCTGGCCGACCTACATCGTTCTTGCTGCCCCTCAGCAGAGCACAGGACCCACACCATCCTTGGGACAGTCCCCATCTCACTGTTGGCCCACATAAGATGGTGCTGACTCCCCTGTGGCACCACGCTCGTCCTCCTGGGTGGGCACAAGTTTGGCCTGGCCAGTCAGCAAATCCCATGACCCCCAACCCCAGCTCAGAGACTGGCAGCTCATGGAGGCTTGGCTCACAGGAGCCAGTGGCAGGACCCTGACCAGGGAGGGCAGGACGCTCCCGGGGGCCTCCTGTCCCACCCCATAGGAGGGCCTGCCAGGTATGCAGAGCCGAGCCAGGGAGAGGCAGGGATGGGTCCCCTGTACTGACAACAGTGGCACCTCACAGACGTCAGCAAGGAGATTCTCTCTTCTCTCAAAGCTGGTCTCTCTAGTACTAGCACACCACTCCACTGCTCTCAGCCTCCATCTCCTCAGAGGGGAGACTTCATCTCATAACAGCCAACCCCGACCAGATGTCCACCAGGGACTGATGTGGTAGTAGCTGGGGACATAGGAAGAATGAGCTCAGTCTCACTTTCTGGGGGGTCTACATACAGCAGAGGGCTGATGACAGGTGTGGAGCCACCATCTCCCGCCAGCACGGGAGCTCTGTGACCTCAAGGGCCAACCATGTCTGGAAGGCCATGTGGGCTTCCCAGAGGGGTAGCACTTCTGAGCTAGCACCATCACCACTTTCCATGGGGGCTGTGCCCAGATCAACAAGAATGAAGGATCTCACAGAGAATGGACCTTCTCTATACCATGGCCTGGGGCTTACTGCACCCAACTGTTGTGGACAGGAGAGCAGGCTTCACATGGATGCCTCCCCAAACAGCCTCTCCCACACCATCTCCTGTGCACTAGTGAGAACCCCACCAATGCAGGAAAACCAGGAGCTGCTGGGCCCACTAGACAGATGAGAAGACTGAGGACAGGAAAGACTGACCTGTCTCACTCTGGGAACTCGGCATGGTGTTAGTTAGGGTCTGAGCCTGGCCATCATATGACTCACCCCTTTGCCAGCAGGGCCGAGTGTGGGTGAACTTTTCCTGGCAGCCAGAGGCTCTAAGGTGCTGGCGGCCAGCCCAGCATCACTCCCAGGCCTGGGCAGATGTCTTTCTTTACCTGTATGATCCCCACCCCGGCAGTCTGTAAAGAGCCCCTGCTTCCTACCACTGGCCAAGAAGGGATAAGGAGAATCAGTCTCAGAGAGATCCACACAGGCCTCCCCAAAGCTCAGCGGAGCTCATGGAAAAGGCCAGAAAATGTGAAGGATCTGGGACGGCTGTACAGAGCATAATTCACATTCCTTCCCCGAGTTTCATAACAGGCCTGCTGCTTTCCTTAAATGGGGAATTTGCGAGCCTGTTGGTTACCAGGGACCGGCTGGTGTGGACGAGCTCTGTGCTCTTGCAAAGTCTCAAACACCACCACAAGCCCAGCCAAATTCCGTGGAGGAAAATCAACTTCCGAAGGAAAGGGCTGCAGCAGGGCCTTCCTGCAGAGGCCGCTGCGGTTGTGGTTGTGTGTTATTTTAGGGAAGGGCCATTCTGCATTTTAAAGAGGGGGTTGGGTTTCACCCTGGCTTTAATTTGAGCCCCTGGAGCCACTGCTGCCCCTCGTGGAACTGGCCCAGGCAGAGGCCTCCTCCCACGCTGGGCTGGTACCTTCCTGGCCCCAGAACTTGAGGCCAGAGGGTCCTCCTCTGAGCCCACTCTGCCACCCATGTGGGCACCCTGGCATCAGGGAGACCTGCCTGCCCCCCACCTGCGTGGACACCTGCACTGGGCTATCTGCCCTGCCTAAACCACACCAAGTCAGGTGCACCTTCTCAGAAGCCAGGGCTCCTCCTGGCCGCAGGGCTCTTGCTCGTGTGCGCACTGAGGTGAACATTCGGACTGAAAGCCGCCCCTCCTGAGGATGGGCAGCATCACACAGAGCACGAGGAGCTGGCAGGAGCTCCACAGGCCAGGAGGGGCCAAGCTGCTCCTTACAGCCTTGTGCCTGCAGCCAGCCCACAGGACAAAATTCTCCCCTCCACTGTCCCACACTTGGGACAAGGTCCTACCCACTGGAGTAGGAGCCAAGCTTGTGCCTGAGGACCACTATTTAAGTCAGCATTTGGTGAGGGGGGGTGCTGGCCACAGCATTCTATAAACTGACTTGACCTCCCCTCCTGGACAATGTGGTACCTAAAGGGATAGTGTAGACGCCTCAAATATCAAGCACAGTCACAGATGGACTTGGGACCAAGTCCAGGGTTATCACCATTGCATACCACTGTCTCCCCTCCCTCATTCATCAGACAACTCGCTGGGGCAGGGGAAGGTGTGGGGAGAGGCCTAGGCATTAGCACCAAAGTCAACTTTCCCCCAGGAATATAATTAGAATAGGGTAACCACAGCTATGATGGGGGGGCAGGTGTGATTCTGGGGGAGCATTAAGAAACATGACCATAAAGTAATTATTCCCAACATTTAATAAGAAAAAGTAGAGCTAAGCAGAGACTGAATTGCTCCCAGAGATGGTAGAGATAGAGCCAGTCCAGATGTGACTGTGAGGAAGACTGCTCCCTACCAAGCACCTAGCACCTTCCAACCAACAACCAAGCACCTCCCAACCAACCACCTAGCTCCAACAAACCAAGCACCTAGTACCTCCCAACCAACCACCTAACCCCTCCCAACCAACCACCTAACACCTCCAACCAACCCTCATGTACCTCCCAATCAACCACCAAGCACATATAACCAAGCACCTAGGACTTTGCAACTGAGCAATAAGCACCTCCCAACTAACATGGCAAAATTCATAAGAAATTAAAAAGAGAAAATTGTGCAGAGGCATGGTGATTGTATTTCAGAATAGTGGGGAAAGGGCATTTTTCTTTTTTCTTTTTTTTGTAGAGACAGTCTCACTTTGTTGCCCTTGGTAGACTGCCGTGGCGTTATAGCTCACAGGAACCTTCAACTCCTGGGCTTAAGCAATTCTCTTGCCTCAGCCTCCCGAGTAGCTGGGACTACAGGCGCCCACCACAACGCCTGGCTATTTTTTGGTTGCAGTTCAGCTGGGGCTGGGTTTGAACCTGCCACCCTCAGTATATGGGGCCAGTGCCCTAGTCAATGAGCCATAGGTGCTCATTGTAACAGTTGACATTTATTGAATCCACAAACCGTTCTTGGTGTTTTCCATACGCTGTGTGTCATGATCACACCTCTGTACAACTGGCGCCGCTGAGGCACAGAGCAGCACCAAGACAGCCCTGACTCTTGTCCTTCTATCCAACCCACATGCAGAGAGCTGGCAAATCCAGGTGGTTCTCCCATGAAAACAGCTCCTAAATCTGGCTACCACTCACCCCAACCTGCCACCTACCTCCCTCCCCCATCCAAGCCACTGCCCTCTATCACCAAGATCACAGCAATGACAACTGACAGTGAGCCTACCCCCAACCCACTCCAAAGCCTACTCTCACTCCAAGAGCCAAGAGCATCTCATTGAATGAGTCAGATAAGATGACTCCCAAGTTTAAGACCTGATCTACCCCTCTTCACATCTTGGACCCCCCACATTGCCCTCAAACAGACCCAGCCCCCAGCTACCCCAGGGCCTTTGCACTGGCTGTTCTCTATACCTGGATTGCTCTTCCCCAGATGGCCACAGGGTCCTCAGCCTCACCTGCTTCAGTTCTCTGCTCAAAAGTCACCAAGAGGCCTTCCCAGGTCCTGAACTGATAGGAAACCCATCGCCAGAGCCTTCCAGTCCTTGAGCACTGCTTTATTTTCCACCATGGCACATTCCCCCTTGGACACGCCATCCAGTTATCATTCCCCCAGCCCCCGGACATTATAAAGACCCTGACAGCAGGGACCAGGCTGTGTCTACAGCAAGAAGAAGGGGACCCAGTGCATGAACGCTCACAAACGCTGGCTGGAATCCCAGCTGGGAGGGGAGGGGAAGAGAGGATGGAAGAGGAGGGCCAATAGTGACATGACAGCCCATGGCATCCACTGCTGTGCAGACTCTCAGCTGGTCCTAGGCTAGGGCTCTCCAGCAGGCTGCTCCCCTCAACTCTCCCACCACAGACAGGTGCCTCTTCATAGCCAGGGAGACTGTTAGACCAGCCATCATCTCCTGGGAAGGGAGCCGGTGACCACAGAGGGCCTGGAACCCTGGGAGAGGTCTGAGGGGAGACAGTTCACTAGGCAGCACAGACACTGTCCCTCAGGTCAGCCTGGCCCCAGAGCAGCTGTAGGCACCAGCCTACCTAGAGGGTGCAAGCAGGGTGAGAGGGGCCTATGGACACATGACTACCCAGCAGGGAACCCTGAGAGGCTGGGGGTGCTCCTCAGGTGGTGAGGGCACTTGGCCTGGCCTCAGGGAAGCAAAGTAGCTACCTCATTCCCACCGCACACATCTACTTGCACACACTCTCATCCAGACACACTCTCTCACACTTGTACATGCACACAAACCCTCAATCACACATGTGCACACAGACTCACACCTCCCATCTCTATGTTGAGCTGCTAAGACACACTATGCACACTCGGCTTTTACACAGACCAGCTGCTCCAAAAGCCTCCAGCTCCTTCCACACTTCTCAGGCCAGTCCAGTCGCTTCCTAAGCCAACGTGCCAAGCAAAGAGGTTAGTTTGGCCACCACGGCACCCCTCACCTGGTCTGCTCCCTGAACTCCCTAATACCGTCTTTGGCAGGACAGGCCCTCACCACCCAGCTCCTGCCCAGGCCACATAACCAGTGTCAGCCCTGGGGTTAGGAGGCCACCATCAAGGGCAACAGCAAGCTGGTGGCATCAAGACTAGAGCTCAAAGGTCTTCATTCCAACTTTGAGTTTGGACAGCCAAGGGAATGGCTTCCAGAGCCCTGACTCCAGGGAGGACGGCAGATGTGTGGGCTGCTATGGCAGGCCTGGACACACAGGCTACTTCTGGGCCTGTTTAGGTTACCTTAATACATCTGGGCCATCCCAGAGATGCTGCTCATCTGGGGAGGTAAGGCTGAAATTGTGGTGACATTCAATAAACTAACATGCAAAGTATTTATTTATTTATTTATTTATTTTTGAGACAGAGCCTCAAGCTATCCCCCTGGGTAAAGTGCCATGGCATCACGTTCACAGCAACCTCCAACTCCTGGGCTCAAGCGAGTCTCCTGCCTCAGCCTCCTAAGTAGCTGGGACCACAGGCGCCCGCCACAGCGCCCGGCTATTTTTTGGTTGCAGCCATCATTGTTGTTTGGCGGGCCCGGGCTGGGGATTCGAACCCGCCACCTTAGGTGTATGTGGCTGGCGCCTTAGCCGCTTGACCCACAGGCGCCGAGCCAACATGCAAAGTATTTAAAACAAAGCCTGAGGACAAAAAAAAAAAGCCTCTTGTCTCTTGGCCAGTTCTGACAAGTGAAGCAGCCCACAGTGGACAAGTTGCCAGGGTTGCCAGCCACACAAAAGGGTGCAGGAGCCACGCTCCAGCATCACTCCTGGGCCACCAGAGGAGGGACAAGGGGGGCCAGACACAGCACTCCTTCTGCTCGGAAAAGTCTGGAATAAGTCTAGCCTGCTGGCCCCTGAAGCTCAGTGTCTCCCCGCAAACCCTCCACCCCCATGGTCGACTCCCCACACATTTTTAGCTTTACTGCCACTCACACACACCCCTACCTGGGGCTCTTGGACAGGCCTGAGCCTCCAAGGCCCCAGGTGGGCTCAGTCAGATCAGTAGGCAGAAGGGGACAGAGAAGCTTCCCAAATAGGCCAGAAAACCCACCCCTCACAAGTTCTGCTTCTAATAAGAGCCGTGTGTTCTTGGCCCATTTTCAGCCAGTGTAGTTATAAAACAGGTGTAAGGTGCAAACCCCACCTGCTAGAGAGTGCGTGCTCCCTGGGCCTCCCGCCACACACACACCAGGGCTTGAGTAAGCTCCCTGGGCCTCCTGCCTACACACACACTGGGGACGGGGTAACTATCAAGTCCACACCAGCCACATCACACACCTCAGACACGCCAGCTTTAAAAAGAAACATAACTATGCAATATTGAAGGGAAAGAATTCTCAACAAGTTCTGAAAGGTAAACTCATTTTAAGAACGACACATTTTTGGTTTGGCGTCCGTAGCACAGTGGTTGTGGCGCCAGCCACATACACTGAGGCTGCAGGGTTCAAACCCAGCTTGGCCCAGCTAAGTCAATGATGACAATTGCAACAGAAAAATAGCCAGGCATCATGGCCAGCACCTGTAGTCCCAGCTACTTGGAAGGTTGAAGCAAGAGAATCCCTTAAGCCCAAGAGTTTGAGGTTGCTGTGAGCTGTGACGCCACAGGACTCGACTGAGGGCGATACAGTGAAACTGTCTCAATAAAAAAGGAATGACACATTTTTCTCTGAGAAAGAAATTGGGGCTCAAGCCACAATATGCCTCCACCAAGGACGCAGGAGGAGAAGCAGCAGGTTTACCCGTGAGCGGGGTCCAAGGCAATGGCCCTCGGCTGGTCAAGGTCCTGCCAGAAGAGGACCTTCCGGGATGTTCCATTGAGGTTGGCCACCTCGATGCGATTGGTCTCTGAGTCTGTCCAGTACAGCTTCTTGCCGACCCAGTCACAGGCCAGGCCGTCGGGTGAAACCAGGCCAGAGATGACCACATTCTGCACCGCAGCCCCGGTCTGGTTCAGGTAGGTCTGCTTGATGGCCTCTTCGCTCACGTCTGTCCAGTACACGGCTCCCTTGGAGAACTGGAAGTCCACTGCGGCCGCGTCCTCCAGCCCACTGACCACGATGGTGGACTCGAGCTTGACTCCGCCTGCGTCCACCAGCCGCACGTCTCGCCGGTTGGCAAACAGCAAGAGCGGTGAAGCTGTAAGGGCAGAAGCAAAGTGTGAGGACCGCTGGCTGGGCAGGTGGGCCTGAAGCCCTGGCACCAGCCCCACTGTGTCCCAAACCTCCAGCTCCTTCCTTCCATCCCCAAGGCAGTGCCAGAATGTCGTCCAGGCAGACCCAGCCTGCACCATCCAGAGGCTCTTTCAGTGCAGCAAACAGTCGTCTTATGACCGGCTTCCTGCAGGCTGCCGTTTACTGAGTAACTGCTGTATTCATCCCCACCCCCAGTGTAGGGGACTCTTCCTGCTATGCCCACCACCTCCCACACTGATGCCATAAACAAGGCTGCATGGTCTTCCAGAGTCTGTGGGGACCTCACCCTACTCTGCAGAGAAGACACACCACCTCGTCAGCATGATGTGGAGGAAGGGGACAGGCAGGCACAGCTCTGGCCATGATGCCTGGCAGAGGCCCAGCTAAAGAGCCAAGCTTTTTTGAGGTGACTCAAAGCCCCCAGCACAAGCTGGGATGGAGATCAGGCTGGACAGAGCTTCAGACTCCCTTATAAGACTCTGCCCACTTGCTGAACTCAGGCTTCTCCCTGGGACTGCGGCCTCAGCCTCCCACCTACCTCTGCAGTCCTTGTTTCCCCGCCCTGACCCTAGTCAGTCCTGCAATGAGAGAGCTTAAAGGATTGCTCTGGAAGGCCGCCCTCAGCTCCAACACCTCGAATGGTGCCAGTGCCATGTGGAATGAGCTCAGGCTCCCCACCTGGTCTCTGGCCTCATCTATTCCTCCTCCCTTTGCCACCCCACTCCCGCATTCCAATCTGCCCTCACCTCCCTGCCCCAACCTGCAGCCTCTGCAGCCTCTGCAAGAGCCCTGGCCCCACAGAAAGGGTCTGAATCTCACAACAGGCTGAACAAGAATCTGGAGGGACCGCCACCCCGCCAGACACTGCAGCCCTCAGAAGGCCCAATAACCTACATGCACACTCCAGAGGGAACATTAAGCCATGAGGTCTGGACATGAGGAAGTAGGAACCTCCAGAGAGCTCCCTCAGTAGAGGGCCCTTGTCAGCACCTAGCGGGACTGAGCTGGCCAAAAAATACATCTTAAGGTTCAGCTACAAACAACTGACACTCCTCATGGAAACAGCAGATCACTGGGGTCTCCTACACAGATAGACCCAGCCAAGCCCACACTCCTGCCTGGCCAAGATGTTCCTGTGGAAATAGAAAATTAAACGAACTGAACTCAGGTGTTGATGAATTCTACACCTGGCTGAGTCGGTTTCATTCCAGCAGGGGAAGGACGTGCAGCCTTTCTGAGGCTACTGGGAGAATGTGGGACCAGAGCATCAGGGTATGAGACCACATGCACCTGGGGTGCTGCAGAGCTCAGGAGGGCTCCACGGCCAGGTCAGCACCTGCTCACATCCTGGTCCCTCCCAGGCGGAGGTCTCGTCTGGAGGAGGGGACTCCAGGTCCTCAACACCTACAGTGGGGGCTCCGCTGCCACTACCGTCACGGCTGTAACAGGCTACAGCTCCTATGGCAGGGAGGGACACCGAAAATCAAACAGCGGGAAGGCTCAGGTAACAAAAGAAAACATGGCAAACTTAACCATGGAAAGTTCACGATTTTGCGCATCAAAAGACACTACGTACAGAGTAAAAAGACAACTCACGGAATGAGAGAAAGTATTTCCAAACCATGTATGTACTCAGGGATTAAGATCCAGAATATAGAGAACGCTCCTAGAACTCCACAACAACAACAAAATAACCAACCCAACCCCAAAATGGGTAAAGGACTTGAATAGACAGACACTTCTCCAAAGAAGATACATAAATGGCCAATAAGCACAGGAAAAGATGCTTCACAGCAACAGTCAGGGAAATACAAATCAAAACTAACCCTAACCCATCAGAACGGCCACTGTCAGAAAAACAGAAAACAACAGGTGTCGGGACAGACGTGGAGCACGCTACTGGAAGAAATAGAAAACCACATCCCTGCTGTGGAGAACAGTACGGCGGCACTGCAGAAAATTAAAAATAGAGGCTCGGCACCCATAGCACAGTGGTTACGGTGCCAGCCACGTACACCAACGCCAACGGGTTCGAATCCTACCCAGGCCAGCGAGGCAATGATGACAAGTGCAACAAAAAATAGCCGGGCGCCTGTAGTCCCAGCCGCTGGGAGGCTGAGGCAAGAGAATCACTTAAGCCCAAGAGTTTGAGGTTGCTGTGAACTGTGATGCCACAGCACTCTACAGAGGGTGACAAAGTAAAACTGTGTCTCAAAAAAAAAAAAAAAAAAAGAAAATTAAAACCAGAATTACCTAGAAATTCCACTCGGGGTCTATTCCCAAAAGAATTGAAAAATGGGGCATGAGCAGGTATGTGCCTGTCCATTTTCTTTTCTTTCTTTCTTTCTTTTTTTTTTTAAGAGACAAAGTCTCACTTTGTCCACCCTAGGTGAAGTGCCATGGAGTCACAGCTCACAGCAACCTCCAATTCTTGGGCTTACGTAATTCTTTTGCCTCAGCCTCCTGAGTTGCTAGGACTATAGGCGCCTGCCACAACACCTGGTTATTTTTTTTTATTATTCTTTTTGTTGTTACAGTTTAGCTAGGGCCAGGTTCGAACCTGCCACCCTCAGTATATGGGGCTGGTGCTCTACTCACTGAGCCACAGTGCTGCCCTGTGTGCCCATTTTCATAGAGGCATTATTCACAAGAGCTAGAACATGGAACCCACCCAAGTGTCCACCCAGGGAGGAGTAGAGAAGTGCAGTGGGTTCTGTCCCACAACAGGACATTACACAGCCTTAGAAGGGAAGGAACTTCTGACACAAGGCTACAACACGATGCACAGCAAAAACATTATGGTAAGTGAAATAAGCCAGTCACAAAAAGCAAATGCCCAGTGATCCTCCCCGTACTCGGTACTCAGAGTGGTCAAGTTCATGAGACAGAAAGGCTGGTGGCTGCTAGAGAGAAAATGGGGGCTGTTGCTCACCAGGGGCAGTTTCAGTCGGGAAGATGAACTGCATGCCTAAAAATGGTTACACTGGGAGGCCAAGGTGGGAGAATCTCTTGATGCCAGGAGTATAAAACCAGCTTGAGCAAGGGCGAGACGCCCCCTTCTCTACAAAACATAGAAAACTTAGCTGGCACCTGTGGTCCTAGCTGCTTGGGAGGCTGAGGCAGGAGGATCATTCAAGTCCAGGAGGTTGAGGTTGCAGTGAGCTATAGTGATACCATTGCCCTCTAGCTCAGGTGACAAAGCATAGCTCTATCTTCAGAAAAAAAAAAAAAGGGTTAAGATGGTAGATTTTATCTATTTCACCACAATAACAAAAAAACTTTATAGGAAAACAAACAAACAAACAATAGGACATTACAACTATGCCTCAACTAAGTATCGGACCTCCCACAAGGAAGGGGTGGCCACAGCATGCTGCCCTGGCCCCCAAATCTCACCCCCTCCCCACCCCAAACAGGTCCAAATAGCTAATAAAGAAACTTGTGGCCAAATGTGTATAGCTCTTTGCAGTTCACACGTAGGGACGCTGTGGGTCCCACATCTGCTCAGGGAAGATGAGCCTGACTGGATCCTACACAGTGCAGGCCAAAGTCCTCGGGCCTCAGGGCTCTGGATCACTCCATCCCACGATGGTTACAGGGATATGCTCGGTTTGTCAAAATCCATCACTTGCCTGTGTGTTTATGCTTCAATGAAAGGTCTGAAAAATTGGCAACAGAGCTTTCCTGTCCCCTTGCTGACAGGCCACCCTCCCAGCTGCTCACCAGACCGCTCCCCCATGCCCCAAAAGGGCCACCTGCTGATCCAAGAACCCCCTGCCCCTGCCTGGAAACCAGCCTATAGCAGCTGCTCTAGGAACACTGGCTGGGGGGAGGCCTACATTTCACCCCTACCCAGCCTACAGGGACCCCAACCCATGACAGCACACCACCTCTGCCCAGTGAGAGGTGAGAAGGAAGGGGGTGCCCAGGAGAGCCAGGCCCTGCCCCGACTGGGGGAGGGTGCACTCACCACCAGGAGGCCTGGTGGGGCCCACCATCAGAGAGGGAAGAAGCAAAGATGACAAGGCAGGAGGGCCCTGGAAGGAAGAGCACCGCGTGCAGGAGCCACAGGGCACGGTGGCATGAGCAGGCAGAGCCAGCGCCAACAAAGACAGCCCAGCACACCCAGGCGCCTAACTCAGCACTCCCAGAGCGCATTTCCATTCATCTCCCCACCAGGAGGAGGGATTTCCAATAATCCTGTTTCATTTTGTGTATGAACTGACTGCGCCCCAGTCAACCCGAGGTCCTGGTGGCAAGGTTCCCCACCTTGTGCCCACTCATCCATTGAAGACATGACCCATCTAGGCATGCTGAAATTCCATAAGGTGGTTTGGGTTTGTTTGTTTGTTTGTTTTGAGACAGAGTCTCACTATGTCCTGTGTCATGGCATTATAGCTTACAGCAATCTCAAACTCCTGGGCTAAAATGATTCTCTTGCCTAGCCTCCCAAGTAGCTGGGAGGACAGGCACCGGCTACTTTTTTTTTTGTGGAGTTGTAGTTGTCATTGTCATTTAGCAGACCCAGGTCAGGTCTGAACCCACCAGCCCTGGTATATGTGGCTGACGACTTAACCACTGAGCTACAGTGGCCGGCCACATACAATGAGGCTGGCAGGTTCAAACCGGCCCGGGTCAGCTAAAAACAACAATGACAAGTGCAAGAACAACAAAAAAAATAGCGGGCCCTTGTGGTGGGCACCTGTAGTCCCAGCTATTTGGGAGGCTGAGGCAAAAGAATCGCTTAAGCCCAAGAGTTTGAGGTTTCTGTGAGCTGTGACATCATAGCACTCTACCCAGGGTGACAGCTTGAGACTCTCTCAAAAAAAAAAAAAAAAGACCAGCTTTGAGAAGCCAGTCCCTTCCCAGACACACACACAAAGTGCTATCACCAAGGTCCCATGAAGTCCCCCAGCAGGGTGGACCCAGCTCCACCCC